CCCTAGCGGTGGCCTTAGGTTCAAGAACCTGAATGAAGCCTCTCACACCTCCACATCGCCACCCCTGCAAGTAGGACTCAGGACCTGCTTGGAGCAGGGCTGGAGGCTGGTCGGGAGGAGGCGCAGGGCTGAGGGTGCAAGGCAGGCCACAGGGTGTGCTCACGCTCGCCGCTGCAGGAGACCGCTACGTGGTGGCAGACTGTGGAGGAGGCACGGTGGACCTGACGGTGCACCAGCTGGAGCAGCCCCATGGCACCCTCAAGGAGCTCTACAAGGCGTCGGGTGAGTAGCCAGGCAGCGCCCTGGATACCCAGCCGCCAATGCCCTCTGGCCAGATGTCTGCACTGGCGCCCCCTTCATCCCCTGCCCCACCCCAGGTGGCCCCTATGGCGCGGTGGGCGTGGACCTGGCCTTCGAGCAGCTGCTGGGTCGTATCTTCGGCGTGGACTTCATTGCCACCTTCAAAAGGCAACGGCCAGCAGCCTGGGTAGATCTGACCATCGCCTTCGAAGCCCGCAAACGCACGGCAGGCCCTCACCGTGCGGGGGCGCTCAACATCTCACTGCCCTTCTCCTTCATCGACTTCTACCGCAAGCAGCGAGGCCACAACGTGGAGACGGCCCTGCGCAGGAGCAGGTGCTTGGGGGCCATGGACTCAGGCGGGGTGTGCGGATGGGGAAGGCCCCTATAAGGGAGGGCGTAGGCCGCAGGGAGCAGTGGGAGTCAGCCTGAAGCACAGCTCGCACAGCCCAGCTAGAAGCGGCCCCAACTGGAGCAAGGGCATCATGGGCCTCGGGAAAAGGGCCAACGTCTATCTTCTCTCCCCTTTCCACCTACACACACACACACACACACAACCCACACACACACACACACACTCACACACACGCTCTCACACACACACTCACACACTCACACACACACACACGCTTTCACACACGCTCTCACACACACACACACTCACACACACTCTCTCGCACACACACACACACACGCTCTCGCACACACACTCACACACACACACACTCTCACACACACGCTCTCACACACACACTCACACACACACACACACACCGTGCTAGGAGGCTAGGGAGGCTCCTCTCCCGGGACCTCATGCCTGGAACAGAAGCAGGCCCTGGCTGAAGCCCCTGGGAGAGTGGGGATTGGGGTAACACATAACATGCAGTCAGTGCCCAGGCACGTAGGCCTGGGCCAACAGTGGTACCCAGGACCCTGACGTGTGGACCTGTGCCCCCTTCACCGGCAGCGTGAACTTCGTGAAGTGGTCCTCACAGGGGATGCTCAGGATGTCCTGCGAGGCCATGAACGAGCTCTTCCAGCCCACAGTCAGCGGGATCATCCAGCACATAGGTGAGCGCCTGAGCTCGGGTCCTCCATTACCCCACACACCTGGGCGCGCTAACAACTGCCTCTATTAGTGCCTGGAAACCCCACACATCCATACACTGGAACGAGACCCAGAGTCACCTGGAACCCTGGAGGAGTCAGTGCGTTGGGAAATACGAGCTAGGAGGGACTGTGTGTAGTCTTGCCAAGTTAAATAACCTCTGGTGCCTCAGTTTCCAATTTATAAAATGGGGTGATAGTATCGGTTCCCAAAACCGTTATCACAGGGATTTAAAGGAGCTGAAGTATCTAAAGAGCTCAGTGTCTTGTGCGCAGTAGGCATTTATCAGGTGCATATCCTTCTCTAGGGGCCTCCACGTGGGGGAGGGGTGTGTTGTTGGGGAGGCAGAGCCCTCAGTGAAAGCGCTCCGTGTTTTTCTTCATTAAAATAGGGCAACCGTTTTACAGTTGAAGTGGCTAGTTTCTAATTGCCAGGCAGGTGGGGAGGAGTGGCCGCGCAGTGGTAGCCTCAGCAGCTCATGCCGTCCCTCTCATCCCCTTCCCTCCTCCTCTTCCCCCACCTCCACCCCCTCCCGCAGAGGCGCTGCTGGCGCGGCCGGAGGTGCAGGGTGTGAAGCTGCTGTTCCTGGTGGGCGGCTTCGCCGAGTCGGCTGTGCTGCAGCACGCGGGGCAGGCGGCGCTGGGCCCCCGTGGCCTGCGCGTGGTGG